AAATTTTGGCACCAGGGATTGAACTCAGGGGCACCCAGCCACTGAGCCAAATCCCAGCCCTATTTTGTATTTTATTTAGAGGCAGGGTCACACTGAGTTGTTTAGTGCCTCACTTTTGCTGAGGCTGGCTTTGAACTCACAATCCTCCTGCCTCAGCCTCTCCAGCCACTGGGATTATAGGGTACACCATCTTGCCCAGCTGTTTTTAAAGTTTTTGAGTAGGACAAATAATTTTGCACAAGTTTATGGTAGACGGGATCCAAATCAAAATATTAAGGATTAAAAAGAGGAAGTAGTGGGAAGGAAATTATGCATTGTTTCATTTAATTGGTACCCCAAGCAGTTTAAGATGTCTAGAGTAGGGCTGTCAGTAGGAAAGGTAGACTAGAGAGATAGGCAGGAGCCAAATCAGAGAGCTTTTTCTGAATCTCACTAGCAACCAAATAGGAACAGGTTAGGGAACAAATCTGTAAGGTCATATGGGCCATGTTTCCTTTGAAGCTGTATTGAGACCTAGCGTGTGTACATGCACACACACACACACACACACAAACACACACACTTTGTCTTTCCTAATCAGTAAGGTACAGGATCACTTTTCTTATCCTAAGGGTATGGCTTAGTTCTGTCTCTAAGAAGAATTTGAAATAATGAAAAATAAAATTAAAATACTTCTGTCTTTTCTCTCCCAAACTCTAAGCCTAGTTTCTTCTGTAGCTCTACATGCACAGACACACACACACACACACACACACACACTCACACTAACAAGAAGATTTGGGAAAGGCAATAGAAGACCAAATAAATAAGCAAAAGGTGGGGAACAGGCAAAAGCAAAAACAAAACATAAAATTATGAGAGAAGAGAATAGGAGTAAGTCCTTCAACAGCTTGGAAAAGAAGGGCTAAAACTAAAGCCACTACTTTCTGTTACTCATACTTTGCCTCTTCAGATATTAACTACAAAATAGCTGACTTTCCAAGATTTTCAGGCATAAAAAGTGAGATTTCAGCCAAATGTCCAATTTATAATCCTTAGTGAGGAACATCTGATCTGAAAACCAACAAATGTGGGTGTTATGGAAACTTGAAACATTTATTAATAGACTTTTAAAAAATTCAGAATATTAAAGATTTCTTTTGAGATTAAATAACAATAGTTTAACATCAAGTTTCTGGGGCTTGTTACTGAATCAACCATATACAGATGGGAGCTGTCAGAAGACTACTGGATGAATGTGTTTTCCACCCAAGGCTGCCTTCTCCATTTCCTCTCTCAACTGAAGCCCATGGGGTGCTAAATGTACAGAATACTGGGAGACCTAGAACTTAGAAACTGAAATTTCAGTCATGAAAAAAAGATGAAAATATTTGGGATTTACCAAAAGCTTTAAAAATAGTACTCCTGTTCTGAAGTTCAGGAATGAGTTGTGTGAGCTTTCTGTAAAGTCATTGCTGAGGAGCATTTTCCAAAAAACCTAAGGTAGAGATTGATGACTTCATTGGAAAGCCTGGCAGATCCTGTCCCCAGAAACCCTCTCTTTCCTTTTAGTTGCAAGAGATCAAATGAATCTGCTCAGAATTTGTCCAGCTGCCTCTTGTCAGATGACGGAAACTGAATTCAGTATTTCTCTGTGGAATTAATGGACAAAAAGTGAAAGAATAAAGAAAGTAGCCTATAGGGACAAGGCTGAGGTTACATCCCTAAAGAGGCCATACTGGGTCTTTTGAAGTGTTTAACCCATTGGGTTGCAAACTTGATCAGCTATAAAAGGTATCAATGACTATGAAGAGTTCAATTCAAGTGATTTTTATGGAGAACTTTCATGGCTCCTTTTCCTACTCTGCTCATATAAATGTTCTGAGGACAGTGTTCATTTGGGGGACACTGCTCCTGAATGAATACCTCTTTCCTTTATGGTGATCAATGTTTGACTTTCTAGATGTTTGATTTTGAATAAGTTTGTCAACAATAAGCTACTTTTTCCATCTGAATCATTCTTTAGCCTCAGTTTTAATTTCCTCCTCAAGAGAATTCAAATTTGGCTTAGGAGTGTTTGAATTTCAGAAGTAAAAATAATACTGTTAGACCACCAGATGCTATCTGGTTCCCTAGTTTTTAAACTATGATTTTCCAAAATTTTATTTTTTTTTTTTTAAGTAGACAATTCAAGATCCCATTGTGAAGTGGTAGCAAAGGGCAGGCCCAGGAAGCTGTCCACCAAAGAAACAGAATGTTACGCTGATTTTATACACTGAGGTTCCATTTTCAATTTCATTTAATAAAAATATCTTTTTATTAGTGGGTGACATATTCCAGTTTGAGAGATTCAATAACTTGTTTCAGGTCACTTAGTCACAGAGCCGAGATTAGGACCAGGTCTCCAGTGTCTTCATCAACCAAGCATCTTTTCTGCCTTTCTACACCTACACTTCTACTATCTCTTTCTATCCTGTTGGCATCTGTTTATCCTCTCTTTAAAAAGTTCCCATTTTCCTTTCTTGTATCAGCAACTTTAAAGCTGTGTCTAGAACAGTATTGTTTTTGTTTCTCTCCCTCTTTTTTTTCCTTCAATATCCTTTTCTCATCAATTCTGAGAGTAGTAGTCTACTGCCAAAAGACAGGAGGGGTCAGGATTATTGTTATTAATGTTATCACTTTCCACACCGACAATATTTATTTAGAGACATGCAGCTTTCATAACACATTAATTATATGGGCATAAACTCATATATCCTTATGAAGTTCACAGAGGGGTTGTGAGATCTAAGGCCCTAAATTAAGAAATTACTTGTCTAAAGCTACACAGCCATTCGAAAGCACAAACAGGTCTATAGTCCTGTTTCCCAAGATCCACTCTTTCCACTTGACTACTCCAATTGAGAAAATTCAGAGTTGTGGGGAGGTCGGTCATATTCCCACCAACCCAAGAATTTAGTCTATCTGTTTACCCTTGACATTTCAAATGACTTCATTCCTTATTAAATCAGTCATACATACATTTAAAAATTACTAATTCACTTTTCCAACCTCAACACCAACCTGCTAGAACAAGACCAAAGGGCCATAAGTTCCTTTGTGAACATTCCTTAGGAATCCATATGATTGATTACCCCTCCATTATCAATGGCAATGTCTCCGTGTTCTTTATGTTCTTTACATTTTTATAAATTTATAGGACAACTGATCCTGTTTTGACCTCTAATGAGTCCTACACCTTTTCTACCACTGAATTTTTATTTGCAGTCACTCTGCTCATGCCAATGTATCTACTTTGGAGAACAACCCTACCAAATATATATATATATTATACTACCAAAGACTTGACCTGATCATTGCCTCTTTGTGTTCACTGTAAATCCCTGAGTATTTGAGCTAATAAGGATAGATAATTGTAAGGAGGGCTGGTAGGAGCCAAATATAAAGTAGACTCTCTCCATGGAAATGACAGTAGTGGGGGGTACATTTTTCAAGACTGGCATATGCATCAATCACTCTAAAGAATGAAAGGTAGATATGGATATGTAGATATAAATATCTGTGAGTATATATTTTTTCCAGGATGGAGGGGGGAAATTTGCCCCCCAACTAGCATAAATTTCATCAAAATCTGAAGATTTGCAAAGAGCCTCATGCATTTCTTGTGTCTTCCAGCTAAGATGAAGAACATAAATGATAGTGATAGTAATAACTTCAGTGGGCAGGTTGAGAGATGAAAAGAATCAATTTGAATACATGTTGAAGGGTAGGAAACTTTGTGTTATCAGTAGTTTCCTATTGAAAACTGGTTTCCTTTAGCATCCATGGCAAAAGCCATTTCTGGATCAGTCATGGCAATATGATACAATCACATTCCTCTATTGCTAGATTAGGTCACTATTCACTAATGCTCTGTGTCCCTCAGCTTCTTTGAGCTGCCATCTCATACCTGATGCCACTTATGGTGAGCTTTTATATATCTAGTTTGGAAAACCAGTAGAAGGCAGAAGGTAGTTTTCTTTCTCTACTATAAAAAGAGTTTTTGGGTCACGGGTGGTTGCCTTCTCACTGAGCTTTTAAAAGAAGAGAGAAAATGCCTTCAGTTTGCTGGGAGCAAAAATATGTTCTTTTTCATCTGAAACCATTACTTGCATCTCACTAAATATTACTGAGCATCCCACAAGTAGCTTATCATCATATCTATTTGCAACAGCAAACTGAATCTATTAGAAAAACCTCTTCAGACCAGTGGAGCCTAGCAGCCCAGGAAGCTTTGGGGAATAAAATATCTGACAGCAGGTGGCCTGGGCAGGCCAGCTGTGTGGCTGTACATAGGAACTGCCACTTAACAAGTTAGGGCAGCCTGTTCCCATAGCTCATGGGGAGCTGGACACAATTCTATCCCCTTTAGACACCCAGGGCTGCAGGGGAGGAAGCAGGCATTTCATCATGTCATATGCCTCCTTTTTCATGTAATTTGAGGTTATACTTGGACAGAACAGTTTCATGTGCAGGAATAAAAACGTCAGTGCCAGGAGATACTGGACCATTGACCCACAGTCCATATGTCAGTAGTCTCATTCCTTTTTCAGATGTGGTCAGTTTCCATGGTAACTGGCAGCCAAGGCTTATTAGTGCTTGTTAGTGTTTAAAAGGTGATTTATAAGCATATAAATAATTGGCAGCTCGTTAACAGGTGGGGCTTCTGAACTCAGCTGCCTTTGGCAATTATCTACAGGATTCAAGAGTTGTGCTGCTGTCCTCTGCAGCTGCCTGGCTGGCTGGCTGGCTCAGAAAGCATCAACCTTGAAAACAAGGCAAAGAGGAAACCATCCATTAGGGGGGTGGGTGGAGCAGATCCTGTGACTGATGGTGGTCCTTCACCTAGTGCAGGGCCCAAGAACAGATGGGAACCAGTCTAGGTCGCACATTTTCATTTTTTTCCTTCAGGAAATGCACATTGTTTCTTGGCAAATTCATTAGGAAAGGAGCCAGACATCATATGAGTGGCTGTTTATACTGTAATAGCCCCTTGTCTAAAAGCACCTCCCTGAACCAGTAGTAGCAGAACCTGAAGGTGCATCAGAATAGATGGATCACATTATTTTCAGGTCAGTTGTGATTGTTCTCTTGCCCTCTCACTGTGTGTGTGTGTGTGTGTGTGTATGGGGGGGGGTGAGAGGAAGGGAGTGACTTGTTTGAGGATGTGGGGAAGAATAAAGTTGAGAGAAAGAGGGAGGGAAGTTCAGTACTCCTATGAGTTAATGCCCTACCTTGCTATTGATTTTTTTTCCCCCTTATCATGGTGGTTGACTCCAGGAACTTACACAAACTAAGCAAATACTCTACCTGAAAACTGGTTGATCAGATTTTTTAATAACTGGAGAGAAACATGACAGCATGAAAAGATTTAATACAGAGATATGAATTTTTAAGGATTGCAAGAATTTTTGGTTGTGACCACAGTTTTGTCAGATTCCTATTTTGACTGGCTAGACCCAAGTTAGACAGTTCTGGCATTTATTTCTTGTTTCATTTGCTAATTATTAAAGACCTTTGACAATATCTAATATTTTTTACAGTTATTGAATTAAGAAAATGTATTCAGTGATGAATGTCATGAATTCATTACTTTCGTCTATAAGTGATACTATATTAGTTATTATTATATTATCATTATTGTCACTTTGGCCTCAGGTAGTTGAGAGGAAGAGAAAATGGGAAGTTAACTGGAAATACTGCAATGGCAATAGGAAGAAAGGGGAGAGACTTTTGAGAGAGGAACTAAGAAGAGGGAAAACCTAACGGCTAAAGAGATGTTCCAAGTGGTTTCTGTGGATTATTTTTGTACATAATCTCAGGAACTTGTGACCAGGCAACATCATCCAGTGCTGCTTAGAGATGGCATAAAAGACAGGTGAATGTATCTGATATTCAGTTTCCTGGAGGGAGTCCAGGAAGGTGCACAGACAGTCAATGATGAAGTCTGTCTCAGAGCCAGAGGGGCTGCTTACCCCTTTGATCATTTTAACTTGCATATTAGTGTATTTTCCTGCTCATTATTGTGAGAACCTAATTTCACTCATGAAGCTCTGAGCTCACCAACAACTTGTAAGTTGTTATTCAGGTTGATTAAACATTAATCTATTTATGGAAACACCTTTTGTTTTAATAATTGTAGTAGTGTTAAATTCTACCCTCTACAAAGTTGGGGGTAATTATCTTTATTCTTTCTCTATCTTGCTAAGAGATTTTGAACACATTCTATCTTTCCAAAGAAAATACTATTTCATATAAAAATAGAAATAATGGTCATGTAATTCTTCCCATGTTATAAGCATCATTTTAAGCAGTTTAACATATAGTTCATATAGTTCTCACAAAAAGTTTATAAATCAGATGTAATTATTTCTACCTTTTTTTATTTAGGGAAACAAATGTGGAAAGCAAAATCCTGGTCAAGGATAGAGCAAGGAGCAAATTAAGAATACACCTGATAACTTAAAAACTTACTACAGCAGAGGATATTCTCCTGATTCCTTAAAACTACCAACAAATATATATCAAGTGATAATTCCACATCCAATTGTGAGGTATAAAGCGATAAGAGAGTGCAATTTTACCCTTACAAAGAAAATAAATTCAGTGACATATAAAATCAGTTTTCCTAAACCCTTCAGAAAACAACAAAGCAAAGAAACTTTGAATAAATTATATTTTGCTGGAGAATACCTCTTGGTGAGAAGACGAACAAAGCCACTCTCCTCCTTGGCTAGTTTAGCAAGAAGAGAAAAAAAATATCCCATGAACAGAGCTAAGAAGAAACCAAGCAAATCTTTACCAAAATTTTAAGTCCTGTGTGTATGCTGCTGAGAAAGATTAGGATTCTGAGTTTCCCAGCTGCTGAGGAAACTTGCATTCACCTCTCTACTCTACAGAGGGCAGTTTTCCAAAGATCTTAAGGCTTGGAGAGAAGAGCTGAGAGGGAGAGATCAACTGGCAGAATACATTAGCTATTTAGGGCAATAAAACTATTTTTGGATGACATAGTACTATCGTTGACACATGTCATTATATATTTGTCAAAGCTCATAGAATGTACACCACCAAGAGGGAACTGTAATGTAAGCCATAAACTTTGAGTTATAATACATAGGCATACATGTTCATTACTTTGTAACAAGTTTATCACTGTGATGTGGTATGTCCATGGTGGGACATTGTGTGTGTTGAGGGACTTGAAAGGGGATGTATGGGAACACTATACTTTTCATTAAATTTTGCTATGAACCTAAAACTTCTCTAAAAAAATAAAATTTGTTTAAGTGTGTGTTTATTTGTATGTGTGTCTGTATATACACACACTGTTGAAATATCTTTATTTGAAGGTGAATGTAATGAATTAAAGATATGTAATTTCTAATTTGTACTGTACTTACAAGCTACACGTTGCTCTATAAATTTAGATTGGAATTTAAATAAAAACTTAAAACCCAGTTCTTCATTTGTACTGAACAAATTTCCAGGGCTATAAGTGGCTACCATATTGAACTAAACAGATACAATATTTCCATCATTGCTGAAATTTCATTTAGAGATCCCTTTTCTAGATAGGCTACTCAAGTACAAAGGCACATTTCTAAATATTATAATTGTCAGCTAAAATGGAATTCAAATATCTGTTATTTCTTCAAAGATGGTATTAAGGGGAAACAGAACAACAAATAACAAATGGGAAAAATATAAACCAATACAAAAAGAGAACATTTGAATCAGACTATATCAGTAATTACCATAAAGGTTAATAGATAAATATTCTATATAAATGTTAGAGATCTTAAGATATAAATTTCTGTATACTAATATATGTGTGTGTGTGTGTGTGTGTGTATGGAAGAAACAAATCTATGCCATTTACAAATAACAAATTTTATATATAAATAAAAAAAGTAAATGTATGAAAAAACATACTTCTTAAACACTAAGATGAAGAAAACATACTGTTAAGATTAAGATTTGTTGGGTTAAATATGCTACTTAAAGAGTAAGATTAAGAAATTTCATATGGCTATGTTAACATCAGTAAAATTGACCTCCAGAGAGAGATCATTACTAGAGAAAAAGAGAAACATTTCATAATTATGAAGGGATTGATTGATCAGGAAATCATAACAATTCCAAGTATGTATGCACCAGAAAAATAGTATTGAAAAATACATGAAGCAAAACCTGACAGACTAACTGGAATAGACAAATCCACATTTATGTTCAGATATTTTATTTAACACATTAGTAGAGAACAATGTATATGTAACATCCCACTAGTCTCTGTCCATGTGCACGGATCATTTACCCAAACGGAACATATACTAGGCCATAAAAAGCCCTCAAAAATTATTAAAATTATACAAAGAACATGTTCTGTACATATTTTTATCAAAATAGGAATTGAGAACAAAAAAGATATATAGAAAACTCTCAAATATTCAGAACTTAACAAAAAACTTTTAGCATGGGTCAGCTAAGATATCATAAAAGGAATTAGAAAATTTTATGAGAGGAATTATAGTAAAGAGTATATCAAAATTTGTAGGATTCCACTAAACCATCACCACAGGGAAGTTTATAGTTTAAATGTTTATATTGAAAAGAGGGATGGTTTAAAACAAATGATCAAATCTTCTACCTGAAGAAACTAGATAAAAAGACTAAATTAACCCCAGAGCAAATCAAAGAAATGAAATAATGAAGACTAAAGAAAAAATCAATGAGTTATAAAACAACCAATAACCAAAACATTGAAATTAATGTTATGAATAAGATTAACAAACTAGACACTATCAAGATTCATCAAGAAAAAAGAGAACACACATATTTATCAGCATCAAGAGCAATAAGGAGACATCATAGAGAGTATAGGAAATGTATGGAAAATAAACAACTTTAAGCTAAAATATTATACAAGGGAGATGAATGGACAAATTGAATAACATACTTATCTAAACTGACATAAAAAAACATGACATACAAATGGCCTAGAAATTGCAAAAGATGTTAAGTTTCATAATGAAAAAAATCTGCCTATATAGGTACCCAAGCCTCAGATGGCTTAACTGAAATGTTATAAGATTTCAAGTAAGAAATTCTAATTCTATGTAAGTTCTTTTAAACATGCAATCTTTATTATGAGGTCAGAAAAACTCTAATACCAAAATCTGGCAAAGATATTACATAAAAATCGAGACCAAAAAATTACAGATGCAAAATTCTTAAAAAGAAAGAAAAACTGAGGACACGCCCACACATGCCGCAGAATGATGGTTATGAACAGATGGATTTTATCTCAGGTAAGCAGATGTGGTTTAATGTTCTAAAAAGTCAATTGATATAATTTACCACACATCAAAATAAAAGAGAAAAACCATACAATTATCTCAATTCATGTATAAAATAACATTTGACAAAATTGTATGTATATTCTGAACTAAAACAGATTAAGTATGGAAGGAATCCTCCCCAAAATGATGAAAAAAAAATCTATAAAAAATTCTAAAGCTAACATCCCTAATTAAGAAATATTTGGACTTTTCTCCTATTCTACAAAACAAAGTGAAAATGTCCTCTCTCAACTAATATTTTCCCAGATTCTCCCTCTGTATAGAAAGGCAGGAAAATAAATAAAAAGCTAAAAAACTAATCGGAATAATTAGAAGAGATAGTTGCAGAGAAAGTGATTATATATCCAGAATACCACATGAAATCTACAAAGAGACTGAGGTTACTATGTTAGAGTAATTTTAGGATTCAATGCCATCTCACAACAATCAAGCATACTTTTTTCTGTTTTAGTATAATCTGGTTTTTTTTTACTCTTTCTTTTTTTTTTAACTTGCTATGTTGCCCATGTTAGTCTCAAATTTGTGGGCTCCAGCATTCTTACCACCTCTGGCTCTCAAGTAGCTAGGACTAGAGGTGTATAATATCATGTCCAGCATTATCCCTCATTTCTAAACGATAGTATTGCTATCTAGATACAGTATTCTTTGTTGGAAGTTTTCTTTTTCTCCCTCTTCAGTGCTGTGAAAATCTCATTCTACACCTATAAGTTATC